CAAGGAAGCAAGTGCTGCTTGCATTGAAAGACAAGAACCAAGACTTTCTTACAGTCTGGAGGTGCACCCACTGCGGAAAGCAGGCAGAGGCCTAGTGCCTGTATTTCGACTACAGCACTTCATTGGTGCCACCTTCAGAAAAGGGTGTCAGCGGTGCGCAGGAGACGAGGAATGGGCAATGCCAGCGGCTCGCTCCACTCCAAAGAGCAAGCAGGCTGCAGCTTGCACTGCAGAGCCCGGCACACCTCGGGGCATCTGAGCACCTTCCAGGTCAGGCTTGGCACAGCCCTGGAAGTTCGGAAACATAACCCTTGCGGCCTTACCTGCGTGATATTGATAACATCCTTGACAAATGCAATAGCCTTCTCCGGCTGGAACTTGCACGTGCCATTCTGTGCAGACAGAAAGGAACCGATGTTAGAGCCTGCTCTGGACCCTGCTCTGCCGCTGCAGAAACGCATCTGAGCTGCACTGTAAATACCTTGGCCCGGTACGGGTAGGTGTCCTCCCCCATGAGCCCTTTGTTATACAGTATGTATTCGAAGGCTTGGCTTGGCAGGCCCCTGCAAGACAACACAGCCAGAATGCAGATTAATTAGGACAGTAACGCTGCAGCTTCTGCAGAGCAAAGCCACCAACCTTCCCCGCAATCCTACAGACCGTTCCCACAAACTGGGGGGGAAAGGGAAGGACAGTGTGTATCCCAGACCCTCTAAAGGCATAAACTCCAGTCTGTTCCTGCAGTATCTCCCTGTCTGGGACTCCCAGCCTAGCCCATCATGCTGTTTGGCAAGGTCCTACACAGGCACGGGAAGACCTCATTCTCAGGAGTGCCTAATCCCCAGGGGAAAACACCAACACAGGAGCCCCGAAGGCGTGAGGCCACCTCGCCCACACAGCACCAACCGTGCCAGCTCAGCTCTGCAGCCTCGCGCACTGAAAGGTGTTTTTCCGTGACCTCTGCCCAGCCTGGCTGGGGTCCCCAGCTACACAGCACGGGGGAGGACAAGGGACCCACATCTTCAGCAAGCAGCTGCTTCCTTCCTCGGCCACCTCTGGGGAGAACATCTCGCAGAAGGAAGAAAAGGGGAGCGTGATCAGGGCATGGTCACAAGGAGGGGACTAAGGAGGAGTCACAAGAAAAATAAAAAGCACCAAGAGTGGTTTTGCTCAGCTCTCTGAACGATCCTCAGGGACCGCTTATCTTACAGAAAACATAAGATTTCAGAAAGCTTTATTTTCTGCCTTCTGTAGCAATGCCAGCAGGAATTTACCAAAGGGGAAGCAGAGGTTTCTGTGGGTTCCTTAAAGCACCATGAGATGCGCGTGACCCATGAGCAGAGCAACAGATAAAATTCCCCTTGTTTTCCCTGAGCATGTTAAAGCCCAGCTATGTAGCACCCGTGACTGCGATATCAGAAGACATTGTAACAAATCAAATATCAGAAGAAAAACTAATAAACAAGAGAAACAACAGAGGTTAGGAAATGCTGGAGATTGAGTGAAACATTCTAACGTCTAGGGAGGGTGAAACTAAAATAAGCACACCAAACCCAAAACTGTTTTCCCTGACACGTCTCAGCCAAGGGGAAACAAAAACCATTCCAAGATCTGGAAGGATCCCAATACTAAATCTTAAGGAAGGCTGTCAATCATGGAATCTAAGATACTCTTATTTCCATTCTTTATTACTTTATATTACTTACCCACTGCAGCCATGGTTGTTAAAAGCCTGAGCGCAATCAACTAACTGTTGTTCCGCCTACGGAAAAGTTTTTTGAGTCAGTATATATTCAACACCTGCATTCAGAGTAAGTGAGACAAAATGCAACCCGTGCGGCAGGCAACCGAGGAGCGCTGGTTTTATCCGTGCAGCTGGCTGTTCACCTGCTGTGAGCAGCAATCACCCGGCTGAACGGCTCCAGGTCCCAAGGAGCAGGACGAGGAAGACATGGAGCCGGCAGCCCAGGATGCTCCAGCTGCAAGAGGCATTCCTCCTCGTGCCTGCCGGGGCACCGTCCCACCCATGGGAGCACTGGCTGAGATCTCTTTCAAAGGTCGAGTTTGTTTTTAACACTTACACCCAACCCTCAGCTATTCCAGTAAGTCATATAAGCAGCTACTGTCTTTCTGGTTCTTCGAGAATATAAATCCTCTGGGAGTTTAAAAATAAACAGTCTCACAGTGTGCTGCTTGCAGCAAGCTGTTTTGCAGCAAGGAGCTCCTGCCGGGGAGCAGCACCAGACATGGCTCTAGCTAACCTCGCCTGCTCCCGGCAGCAGGGACCCGGCAGCCTCCGGCCCCTCCGGTATGTATTTTACCCATAAAAATACAGAGCTCCGAAAAGGGCTCTGCCCAAGCCCGTGGCAGCGGGACACAGACCCCGAGAGGGGAAGCACTGGCTGAGATCTCTTTCAAAGGTCGAGTTTGTTTTTAACACTTACCCCCAACCCTCAGCTATTCCAGTAAGTCATATAAGCAGCTACTGTCTTTCTGGTTCTTCGAGAATATAAATCCATCCTCTGGGAGTTTAAAAACAGTCTCACAGTGTGCTGCTTGCAGCAAGCTGTTTTGCAGCAAGGAGCTCCTGCCGGAGCAGCACCATCCGGCCCCTCCGGTATGTATTTTACCCATAAAAATACAGAGCTCCGAAAAGGGCTCTGCCCAAGCCCGTGGCAGCGGGACACAGACCCCGAGAGGGGATGGCAACAGGCACAGCCTCAGGCAGAGAGAGCTCCCAGCCACGCTGCCCTGCGCCTCCTCCAGCAGTTCTGCTCGGCTTGCAAAGAGCTGCAAGGGGTCTGCAGGGCTGGGGGTGCCTGCCACAGCCGCACGCAGCGATGTACAGCCAGACTCGGAACAAGCAGCTGGCAGCTGTCCCAGACAGGAGCGGGCTGCCCCCACTGGCAGCCCTGGTAGATAACCGGAGGCAGGACTTGCCATCAGTCCACAGGAAAGGAAAATCTCTTACCAGAGAGAGGAGCTTTCCTGTCGCGATAGCAATAGCAGACTCCAAACACCCTGTGGTGGAAAAGGTCCAGCAGCTCCCGCAGGGGCCCTGTGTTAGGAGCCAGAGAGGAAACGGTCCATAATGTGCTGCAGGGTCACTGGCCTCCCCAAAATGCCAGGGCTGGGGCAGAAGGGCACGCCAGGAGCACAGCGCTTCGGCTCCCCGCCGGCAGCTGGGCTTCGCCTTCTGCTCGGCCCCTGCCCGAGGGCCCACGGCCTCCCCCTGCCCCAACCCCTCCCAGCCCCCCTCGCCCCAGCTCCTGGGGGAGCCTGCTTCCCTGCGGGCACACACACCCCAGCACTCCTCCTCCCAGCACAGTGCCCTGCCTGCAGCGGTTAGCCCCCCTTCTGGCCCACTCTTGGTGTGTCACCGATGACACATGCTCCTCACCTGGTTTTTCACAGGCGTCACGTAATTTCCCTTCTTCCTCCAGTCGATGGAGTCGGGATATGGCCCAGAGCTGCGCAGGAAGTTCCCCTTTGTGGCTGAGCAGTTCTGCAAGTGAGGTGAGAGGGCTGTGGTAAGCTGCCGTGCCAGGGGACGGTGGCCCACGGATGGCCGCCCTCCCTGGGGTGGAGGGAGCAGTGACTGCCACAGTGTGTGTGCAGCCCCGGCCCGCTGCATGCCAGCCACTACAGTCGGGGAGACCTGGGACAGCCCTGGAAGAGCACTGCCAACCCGCACCCCCAGTGGCGGTGCCCGAGCTGCTCAGGGAGCTCCTAACTCCCCAAACAGTCGGGATCAGGCCTTAGGTCTACCCATAAAAATACAGATCAACCTGCAAAGCTGAAAGCAGAAGTGACAATTCAGCTAGAGCCAGGGTCAAGACAGAGAAGTGGCTGGAAGCCAGGGGGCTAGGAGATGGGGGGGTTCACCTCGCTCTTACCCAGGCTCTGGCTCCGGTGGGACAGGGCACTGCACTTAGCAAAGTGTATGTCAGGCAGCACAGCGATGGGGTGCTGACCCACCTGCGGGTGCAGCTCGGCACAGAGCCCCCCAGCAGCTCAGGGTTTGCCATCCTGCTGGACCCCCTCCTCCCTGCCCAGGGCACGCTCCTGTGACTTACCTGGGGCTCTCTCCACAGGTACAATTTTTTAAATTCAGCGAAGGTCAGATCTGAAAACTGGTTCAGACTCACTAGAAGAAGGAGGAAACGGAAACGTTTTGCTCACTAAGGATCAGAGTTCAAAGCGAGAGCAAGAGCGGGCCGGGGGGCTGGGGAAGCGGCTCCTACTCTGGAAGCTGTGGTTGCCGGCGTTGTGCTCGTCGATCTGCCTCTTGTTGCCGAGGAAGATGCGCAGCCTGCGGGGGTACTCGCCCGGGCCGTACCGCCGGTTGTTCTGCGGGGGCAGAGC